GGTGGTTACATGACGCCAATATGTACAGTGTCATGAGATACTTTGTTACAGGGGGTTATATGACGCAGGTATGTACAGTGTCATGAGATACTTTGTTACAGGCGGTTAGAGGACGCAAGTATGTACAGTGTCATGAGATACTTTGCTACAGGTGGTAACATGACGCAGGTATGTACAGTGTCATGAGATACTTTGTTACAGGTGGTTACATGACGCCAATCTGTACAGTGTCATGAGGTACTTTGTTATAGGTGGTAACAGGACGCCAGTATGTACAGTTTAATGAGATATGTTGTTACAGGTGGTTACATGACGCCAGTATGTACAGTTTAATGAGATACTTTGTTACAGGTGGTTACAGGACGCCAGTATGTACAGTGTCATAAGGTACTTTGTTACAGGTGGTTACATGACGCCAGTATGTACAGTTTAATGTGATACTTTGTTACAGGTGGTTACAGGACGCCAGTATGTACAGTGTCATGAGGTACTTTGTTACAGGTGGTTACATGACGCCAATCTGTACAGTGTCATGAAATACTTTGTTATAGGTGGTTACATGACGCCAATATGTACAGTGTCATGAGATACTTTGTTACAGGTGGCTACATGACGCCAGTATGTACAGTTTAATGAGATACTTTGTTACAGGTCGTTATATGACGCCAATATGTACAGTGTCATGAGATACTTTGTTATAGGTGGTTACAGGACGCCAGTATGTACAGTGTCACGAGATACTTTGTTACAGGTGGTTATATGACGCCAATATGTACAGTGTCATGAGATGCTTTGTTATAGGTGGTTACATGACGCCAATATGTACAGTGTCATGAAATACTTTGTTACAGGTGGTTATATGACGCAGGTATGTACAGTGTCATGATACACTTTGTTACAGGCGGTTACAGGACGCAAGTATGTACAGTGTCATGAGATACTTTGTTACAGGTGGTTACATGATGCAGGTATGTACAGTGTCATGAGATAGTTTGTTACAGGTGGTTACATGACGCAGGTATGTACAGTGTGATGAGATACTTTGTTACAGGCGGTTACAGGACGCAAGTATGTACAGTTTAATGAGATACTTTGTTACAGGTGGTTACATGACGCCAATCTGTACAGTGTCATGAGGTACTTTGTTATAGGTGGTTACAGGCCGCCAGTATGTACAGTTTAATGAGATACTTTGTTACAGGTGGTTACATGACGCCAATATGTACAGTGTCATGAGATACTTTGTTCCGGGTGGTTATATGACGCAGGTATGTACAGTGTCATGATACACTTTGTTACAGGCGGTTACAGGACGCAAGTATGTACAGTGTCATGAGATACTTTGTTACAGGTGGTTACATGACGCCAATCTCTACAGTGTCATGAGGTACTTTGTTATAGGTGGTTACAGGCCGCCAGTATGTACAGTTTAATGAGATACTTTGTTACAGGTGGTTACATGACGCCAATCTGTACAGTGTCATGAGATACTTTGTTATAGGTGGTAACAGGACGCCAGTATGTACAGTTTAATGAGATATTTTGTTACAGGTGGTTACATGACGCCAGTATGTACAGTGTCATGAGATGCTTTGTTATAGGTGGTTACATGACGCCAATATGTACAGTGTCATGAGATACTTTGTTACAGGTGGTTATATGACGCAGGTATGTACAGTGTCATGATACACTTTGTTACAGGTGGTTATATGACGCAGGTATGTACAGTGTCATGAGATACTTTGTTACAGGTGGTTATATGACGCAGGTATGTACAGTGTCATGATACACTTTGTTACAGGCGGTTACAGGACGCAAGTATGTACAGTGTCATGAGATAGTTTGTTACAGGTGGTTACATGACGCAGGAATGTACAGTATCATGAGATACTTTGTTACAGGTGGTTACATGACGCAGGTATGTACAGTGTGATGAGATACTTTGTTACAGGCGGTTACAGGACGCAAGTATGTACAGTTTAATGAGATACTTTGTTACAGGTGGTTACATGACGCAGGTATGTACAGTGTCATGATATACTTGGTTACAGGCGGTTACTTGACGCAAGTATGTACAGTTTAATGAGATACTTTGTTACAGGTGGTTACATGACGCCAATCTGTACAGTGTCATGAGGTACTTTGTTATAGGTGGTTACAGGCCGCCAGTATGTACAGTTTAATGAGATACTTTGTTACAGGTGGTTACATGACGCCAATATGTACAGTGTCATGAGATACTTTGTTCCGGGTGGTTATATGACGCAGGCATGTACAGTGTCATGATACACTTTGTTACAGGCGGTTACAGGACGCAAGTATGTACAGTGTCATGAGATACTTTGTTACAGGTGGTTACATGACGCCAATCTGTACAGTGTCACGAGATACTTTGTTCCGGGTGGTTATAGGACGCAAGTATGTACAGTGTCATGAGATACTTTGTTACAGGTGGTTACATGACGCCAATCTGTACAGTGTCATGAGGTACTTTGTTATAGGTGGTAACAGGACGCCAGTATGTACAGTTTAGTGAGATATTTTGTTACAGGTGGTTACATGACGCCAGTATGTACAGTTTAATGAGATACTTTGTTACAGGTGGTTACAGGACGCCAGTATGTACAGTGTCATGAGGTACTTTGTTACAGGTGGTTACATGACGCCAATCTGTACAGTGTCATGAGATACTTTGTTATAGGTGGTTACATAACGCCAATATGTACAGTGTCATGAGATACTTTGTTACAGGTGGTTATATGACGCCAATATGTACAGTGTCATGAGATACTTTGTTACAGGTGGTTATATGACGCCAATCTGTACAGTGTCATGAGATACTTTGTTATAGGTGGTTACATGACGCCAATATGTACAGTGTCATGAGATACTTTGTTACAGGTGGTTATATGACGCAGGTATGTACAGTGTCATGATATACTTTGTTACAGGCGGTTACTGGACGCAAGTATGTACAGTTTAATGAGATACTTTGTTACAGGTGGTTACATGACGCCAATCTGTACAGTGTCATGAGGTACTTTGTTATAGGTGGTTACAGGCCGCCAGTATGTACAGTTTAATGAGATACTGTGTTACAGGCGGTTACATGACGCCAATCTGTACAGTGTCATGAGATACTTTGTTCCGGGTGGTTATAGGACGCAAGTATGTACAGTGTCATGAGATACTTTGTTACAGGTGGTTACATGACGCCAATCTGTACAGTGTCATGAGGTACTTTGTTATAGGTGGTAACAGGACGCAAGTATGTACAGTTTAATGAGATATTTTGTTACAGGTGGTTACATGACGCCAGTATGTACAGTTTAATGAGATACTTTGTTACAGGTGGTTACAGGACGCCAGTATGTACAGTGTCATGAGGTACTTTGTTACAGGTGGTTACATGACGCCAATCTGTACAGTGTCATGAGATACTTTGTTATAGGTGGTTACATAACGCCAATATGTACAGTGTCATGAGATACTTTGTTACAGGTGGTTATATGACGCCAATATGTACAGTGTCATGAGATACTTTGTTACAGGTGGTTATATGACGCGAAAAAGTAACGTGTCATGAGATACTTTGTTATAGGTGGTTACATGACGCCAATATGTACAGTGTCATGAGATACTTTGTTACAGGTGGTTATATGACGCAGGTATGTACAGTGTCATGATATACTTTGTTACAGGCGGTTACAGGACGCAAGTATGTACAGTGTCATGAGATACTTTGTTACAGGTCGTTACATGACGCCAATCAGTACAGTGTCATGAGGTACTTTGTTATAGGTGGTAACAGGACGCAAGTATGTACAGTTTAATGAGATATTTTGTTACAGGTGGTAATATGACGCAGGTATGTACAGTGCCATGAGATAATTTGTTACAGGTGGTTACAGGACGCAAGTATGTACAGTGTCATGAGATACTTTGTTACAGGTGGTTACATGACGCCAGTATGTACAGTTTAATGAGATACTTTGTTACAGGTGGTTACATGACGCCAGTATGTACAGTGTCATGAGATACTTTGTTACAGGTGGTTACTGGACGCAAGTATGTACAGTGTCATGAGATACTTTGTTACAGGTGGTTACTGGACGCAAGTATGTACAGTTTAATGAGATACTTTGTTACAGGTGGTTACATGACGCCAATATGTACAGTGTAATGAGATACTTTGTTACAGGTGGTTATATGACGCAAGTATGTACAGTGTCATGTTGTACTTTGTAACAGGTGTTTATAGGACGCCAGTATATACAGTGTCATGAGTTACTTTGTTACAGGTGGTTACATGACGCAGGTATGTACAGTGTCATGAGATACTTTGTTACAGGTGGTTACATGACGCAGGTATGTACAGTGTCATGAGATACTTTGTTACAGGTGGTTACATGACGCAGGTATGTACAGTGTGATGAGATACTTTGTTACAGGCGGTTACAGGACGCAAGAATGTACAGTTTAATGATATAATTTGTTACAGGTGGTTACATGACGCAGGTATGTACAGTGTCATGAGGTACTTTGTTACAGGCGGTTACTGGACGCAAGTATGTACAGTTTAATGAGATACTTTGTTACAGGTGGTTACATGACGCCAATCTGTACAGTGTCATGAGATACTTTGTTATAGGTGGTTACAGGCCGCCAGTATGTACAGTTTAATGAGATACTTTGTTACAGGTGGTTACATGACGCCAATCTGTACAGTGTCATGAGATACTTTGTTCCGGGTGGTTATAGGACGCAAGTATGCACAGTGTCATGAGATACTTTGTTACAGGTGGTTGCATGACGCAAGTTTTACAGTGTCATGGAATACTTTGTAACAGGTGGTTACGGGACGCCAGTTTGTACAGTGTCATGAAATACTTTTTAACAGGTTGTTATAGGACGCAAGTATGTATAGTGCCATGATGTCCTTTTTTACTAGTGGTTACAGGACGTCAGTATGTACAGTGTAATGATATACTTTATTCCAGGTGGTTACAGGACGCCAGTATGTACAGTTTGAGGAGATTCTTTGTCGTGTTCACCCTCCTCGGTGGTGCCGTCTTCGTCATCTTACTCCTCGTGATGACGCATTCAGGTGAGTAAGACGTTGATGAGCACAGCTTGCATCTAATTGTTGTCCACGATATGTACAGAAGTAGAACAGCAATTGTACCAGGTGATGTACCATGCGCTGCACCATGTGATGTACCATGTAATGTACCATGTGATGTACCATGTAATGTACCATGTGATGTACCATGTGATGTACCATGTGATGTACCATGTGATGTACCATGTGATGTACCATGTAATGTATCATGTGATGTACCATGTAATGTACCATGTGATGTACCATGTAATGTACCACGTTATGTACCATGTAATGTACCAGGTGATGTACCAGGTGATGAACCATGTGATGTACCATGTGATGAACCATGTAATGTAACACGTGATGTACCATGTAATGTACCATGTGATGTACCATGTAATGTACCACGTTATGTACCATGTAATGTACCATGTAATGTACCATGCGCTGCACCATGTAATGTACCATGTTATGTACCATGTAATGTACCACGTGATGTACCATGTAATGTACCACGTGATGTACCATGTGATGTACCATGTGATGTACCATGCGATGCACCATGCGATGTACCATGTGCTTGATCATGTGCAAAACAATGTGCCATGTCGAGTTTCTCCAGTCCTTCTATTTATCCCTGGATTATTTTTGCAGATAGTCGCTATTTAACAGCCCGTTTTGCAAGTGATTTTACCCACCTACAAGATTCGATTATTGGGACCGGTGCTCATGAAGATGACATTCGCCTGACAGAACACGGCCTTGACCTGTTTCTAGAAAGCAAGGATGAAGTCAAAGACGGAGAATGGAATAACGAAGATTTCACTTGTATGTCAAGGCGTTCCGTTACCTGTAGACATCACATCACAAATTTGGTTTGACGCCACAAATGAATATCATATCCGTTATATTATGACTAGTCAGATATATGGAGCATTGCCTGGTGCTTCAAGCCACAGAAGGTTCCTTGGCATGCTGAATAAACAATGACCATACATACCACAATGATCCCTGGGTTGTAGCAACATCAAATCAATTTGAAGTCAGTTTGTGAACAGTCTACTCACTAATTGCATGAAAATATTGCCGTGTCACAATTGATCGTCTTGTCTTTCTGACCAATGAGAGAGTAAATGGAATAGCCCCAGGTTTCACTCAAAACCAGCAAACCATGAACTGTGAACAATGAAATTGTTTGATTGTCACGACAAGCCAACATATCATTAAAATGTGTTAACATGTTTAAAGCAGCATACGTATACTTATTGTATGCCAATTGTGTGAGTGTTCATTGCAACTGGTAAGGCACGAAAACCTGGTGTCACCACGTATTTCCCATTCATACACTGTTACCTCCATTGTTCTGGATAATCGAGACTGGTTATTCTGTGTGGTTGACGTTTGGTATTTATCCCTGTGAAGTCGCCATCAATGATGCTGTAAAAAATATAAGCTCCCAGTTTGGCAGACTGATCATGAAAGCAAGAGCCAATGTTAACCACTTAGGGATTTCGGCTTTGGTTACAAAAGTGTACTCAATCGACGAAATGTTGACACTGACATCAGCTTTGGGAAATATAAACTATATAAAGGAAACCGTTTTTCTTAACGGCCCATGAAGCTGAAATGTTGAAAATGTTCTCTCATATAACTAAAGGTCTCAACACATTCTAGGCGTTTTTTCAATGCTTTCCGTAACATGTTTAAATGTATTCGGTTGTCCCTGAATAAGTCCACCCAAACAAATAAACGTCAAGATGTGAGTAAGGATTTCATTTCACATATTTGTAAGTTCAAACTCTCTCTCAAATAGGAAAGAGAAGCCGTGACAACATTGAATTAACTCCACGTTTATTTATAATATAATTGGTTCTATGAGATGGGTAAATTTAGTTTCAGACTGTTCTGATCTATATTTGACATTGACATAGAACAATCGACTATACTATGAGCAACGTTTTCATTTAATTTATCTGAAAATGCAAGAAACTGATAATATAATCTTACTAAACATATTTGTGCTTTATAATAATGGACTTGACAGTGAAGCTTCTCATTTCATCTGCCTGTTTTTTTATCCATGTCACCTGACCAATGGTTTGTCATCAGACAGTTATGCAGACAAGTCTTTTAGATATGGGATTTACAAAAAAGTGAAATATCTTTAAAAAAATGCTTTCTTTATGATATACATCAGTGTAAAAGACTGAGTTTTCCGAAGTTAAGAAAAGTGATATATTCATTTGTAATTTTACTGCAGTGAACATAAAAAATTAACGTAGCTATTGTCCTACAAGAGTTAGCTCCCCATTATCTCAAGTTTCAAGCCGGAACACAAACGGTTGACGTCCATGTTTCTTTAATTCTACATTGACAAGGCAAAAGACAGATCGTCATTCATGGAGTTTATATCCATTTTATTTTTTATTCTCTCGTAAATATTTACTAACAAACTGTAAATTTCTCATTTAACTCGTCAATAGAGACTGTTCGTTTCGCAAAGTGCCATTTTTGTTACTTGACCAGAGTGCATTCTTTTGCTTCCAACAGCAGGCTCCTAGATTTCAAGAATATATTTTGTTAATGTTCATTTTGTATATATTCATATCTAAATGCATGATGAAGAACGTTCGTGACCCTAAATATTATTTGATACTTTTGTTGTTTATATATATTTTTAAATTTGCAAACATGAAACTACTTTTTAAAGTCGAAAATCCAAGGTTTGGTGAACCGCCCCTTTGTGTCGGGAGAATTTCAAGGTGTTACATTTGTAATGCAATAATTTAATTTTCCGGTAGGCAACTACACACAAAATATAAAAAGGATATTCCATGTGTTTACGCCACTCGTAACAATATTCCCTCCCCTCGTCACTCGACACATGGAATATTATCTGTATTGGTGGGCCACACGTTAGATACTAATGTATTATGAACCACTAAACCTTTAACTTGAATATTGTTAAGGCGACGTAATGTTCACTTCATATTGCCTAGATCGACTTCCTCACGTAAAATATAGGTGTATATTACACATAATGTTGCTTATCCAGGTTCGTGGTTGTTTTATGACAGTCATATAACACCCTATTGTTAGCCCTCTTAGCTGTGGCTGTGGAGAGTTTCGTGGGTGATGCATGAATGTACTATAATATTCTGCTGTTGTCACTCCTGCAGTAGCTGCTGGCAACTCTGATTGATTGATTGATGCATGACTGTCATATAATATCCTATTGTTGCCACTCCTGCAGTAGCTGTGGGGAGCTCTGTGATTGATTGATTGATGCATGACTGTCATATAACATCCCATTGTTGCCACTCTTGCAGTAGCTGTGGAGAGCTCTGTGATTGATTGATTGATGCATGACTGTCATATAACATCCTATTGTTGCCACTCTTGCAGTAGCTGTGGGGAGCTCTGTGATTGATTGATTGATGCATGACTGTCATATAACATCCCATTGTTGCCACTCTTGCAGTAGCTGTGGACAGCACCGTGGCTGAAGCTCTGTCCAGGAAGCTCCGTCTGGCCTGTTTCATCACCACCAGGGAGGTCAACATGGAGACCAAACTGAAGGCCGTCAATGAGACTTGGGGCAAGAGATGTGACAAGATGCTGTATGTGATGACAACCAACAAAACAGGGCCGGACATATTAGGAGTGACCATTCCCGACTCCCATCGCACTCTCACAGAGAAAATCGTCCACGCTTTCACACACATGTATAGTACATCACTAGACGAGTATGACTGGTTCCTCAAGGCTGATGATGACACATATGTCATTGTGGAAAATCTCAAATTTCTTCTCGCGCATCTAAACGCCAGCAAACCTGTCTACGTTGGCGACCACTTCGCACCCTTCTCACCTAACGGGTACATGGGTGGTGGGGCGGGGTATGCTGTCAGTAGGGAAGCTCTCCGTCGACTGGTGGAGCAGGGTTACAGGGTGCCAGGTAGATGTCGCCACGCTGGAGGAAGTGAAGACATCGAGACCGGGCGATGCATGTACAAGGTTGCGGTGTCTACATATCTTTCGTTAGACAAGTACAACAGATCGACCTTTCATGGTGCAAATCCTGACACATTCCAAGTTGGTGTAGCCAACTTTATCTCCGGGTTTTCTGCCAACAAATACCACTCGGTAAGCTGAGTTTACCTGTTCCTGTTTGGTGAATGGATAATTTGGTGTAACGCTAAAATGAACAGTATTACTGTTTTTGCCACGATGTGCATAAAGTGATGTATTCCCTCTGGCTAAAACAAAACACATACCATTATATGGTGTTGACAGACCAACTAGCATGGGCCAGGTTTCATTATTCCAGCGTATCCTGTATCTGTGCATATGATACAGAGTTGCTTAACTTGGTCTTAGTCTCTAGGTCTCATATGTCAAGCGTTCATTCACGAAATGAAAACCTGTATTTATCAATTAGAACCTCATGAAAAAACCCTGTACTGATTGCAGTTGCTGACGGTTTTTATCAACTAGCATAACTGTGTCTGATAGTTTCAAGTGACTGATATCTAAAGTTTTACATATATAGATATATATAGATATATACAATCATTTTCTCACCGTTCAGATTTAGAGTATAAATTCTAGTATTGGCTTTTTCTAGAATTCTAGTATAGTTTTTCCTTGTACTTTATAATTACAGCACTGCAAGACTTCTATAGACAATGCTGATATATTTATAATATTTGATATAAAGCGACTTAGAAGCTGTATATTCCCGTTTGGATTCCGTGTCAGTCTGAAATGGGAGATCAGGTGGTCAGGTCTGTGACTGGGCAGATTGGGAGTATCGTACAATGGGCGTGTATCACATACTTCCATGGCCCACTTTCGCTGCTGTAATAGTGCCGCCTGCATAAATCAACAAACACATAATATGTAGTTGAGTTGTTTCAATTTCTGTTCTCGACACAGGGCCCAGAGTGCTGCTCACAGCTGACCATAAGCTTCCACTATGTTAAACCGGAGCTGATGAGAACTCTGGATATGTTCCTCTACCAGATCACTGTGTTTGGTCGAACAGTGAAATACAAGGAGCTCTGGAATCTGTTCCGAGCAGAGGAGTTTCACATACCACAAGAACGTCGGAGGCGCCCTTACCCAGGGGAGACAATAGAGGAGTACTACAAGAATGCTACAGAATGGAGATTGAAGAACACAACTATCTATATTCCAGACAAGACGAAACCAAAGAAAAAAACAGGAGCGTGAGTCTGGACTCAGGAATTGTGTCTTGCTATTCATATGAGTAACATCCTTCTTTTTGCATTTTGAAAAATAAATACATGGATCTTTTTGATACCATGATATTCCGCCGAATCTAAATTTTAGGCTTGCAATATTTTTTTTATATTTTTTTTATAAACACTGTGTTATCTGTCAGACTTTGTTATATGAGGAACATTGTTTTGGAACTGAAACATCCTGCAGGGACATGGAAGGAGACATTAAAAGAATATGGGGAATATACTATTGAACTGGGGAATCTTTATTATACACACCTGGGAAATTTCTAAGCACCACACCTGTAGTTCATACATACTACATGGGACTTTGGAACGATATACATAAACTTATGACAGTGGTCTCCTATCAATCAATGTGTAACATTGTGACACACTGGATAAGAAACACCTAGGTCTATTCAAGATGGACGCAAGTTATAGAAAGCATATGAGTTACAGACGCAGATGAGAGATGTGAAACATACTCAAAGAAGTATTTACTTGGAACAAGTATAACCCATTTAAACATTAATCGATTTCGTTTTCTGTATATCACTATGAGTATGTCACAGTCATACGATTTTTCCAAACCTATATATTTTAAAAAAACATATGTAATGGAAAGTGCTTAACTTTTGCCAGGTTTATATATGTATGCATACCTTGTAGATGATAATAAACAACACTACAACAACTATAACTACATCTGGGTGTTTTATCTTTTATGCAACTTTAAACCTAAAATTATTGATTTTGAGTTACGTTTTGGAATGTCAATATTTCTCTAGATTGCACTGGTCTCCGAGCGTCTTGACATGCTTTGCCCTAAGCAATACCAGGATACACATGTGGTTGGATAGACTCCAGGGTTCTTTGGCCATGTAAATCAAAAAACCAAAAATGATTTTTTGTTCAATAAAACAACAATAATTGCATATTTCGCTAATAGTTTTCGGTAGAGCAAAACAGAGTAGCCTATTGCCTCCCCGGTAATATGGAACATGACGTATTCCCATGCTAATGTGAATCGTCAAACATATGACACTTAAAGGAAAAGGAGCATAACTTCCCAACACTGTACACGTATAATCTCAGTATTTTACCATGGATTCCGACACAAATATCAAAGCTAAAGTTATTTACGTGAAGGTTTAGAAATCAGAGTGGGAGAGTGAGTTCAGTTTACTGCCACTTTTAACAGTATTCCAGTTATATCGCGGCGTGTCAGATAAATGTGGGAGGAAAGCCCAAAGTGATACAGGTCTTAGACGTTTACCTCAGAAATCAGAAGATGTTAACCACATCCCCACTCCAAAGAAGAAGAACCTGTTTATGTATCACGTCTAAATATACAACTCCAATGCCAGAGATAGAACACCTGCCTAAACTGGCACTTAAGTCATCATAGCGGTGAAAATCATATGAATGGATGACAGAAAATCAGTGATGACACCATGTGTTTGTTAAAAGGGTAAGTATATCCTGCCCTACTCGTAGCAGGGGGGCTGACCTTTGGCGTTGACGTTAAATATTTACAGAAACAGAGGAAACAAATAAAATGATACTCAAATTTCCATGGAACAAGTATGAAACATTTCATTGGAGAATCGGTTTCGGTTTCTCTACTTCAATAAGAGCATGCCAAAGTTATACTTTTTTTTTAAATGTTTAACTTTTTCCAGGTGCAAATGTGTTTTAGTGCCCGGTCAGCAATATTCCAGCTATATGTCTGTGGTTTGTTAATAATCGAGTCTTTACCAGACAATCCAGTGGTTGATATCATGAGCATCGATCCACGCAATTGGGATCGATGACATACATCAACCAAGTCAGAGACCCTGACCACCCAATACCGCTAGTCTCCTCATACGACAAGCATAGTTGCCTTTCACAGCAAGCATGGGTTCGTTACGGGTGGTGTGTATGTATATAGTATGTATATATATGTATGTGTATAGCATGTAGATGATAATATATTGGACGATTACATATACAACTACATCTGACAGTTCTATTTTCCGTCCAGTTCATAACGTTTTGAAATGTTTATCAATTATTTCTGTATATGGTTCTCGGCACCGAGCAGCATGTCTGATTAAATGGCTTCATCTAATCTGACAGGAGGCAAGGGTGGTGCAGCGCAGAGTTAATCCCCTTTAGTATGCAAGGATCCGTTTGTCGTTGAATAGATTTCACGGATGTTTGGCCACATAAATGGTAAAACAAAACAAACGATATTACATATGCACCATGATCTGAGTGTTTTCTGTAAACTATGAGCAAATCAGTGCAGCTTACTGCCTCATTGCCGTCAAGGCTGTAACATATACTTCAATGTTTATGTGAATCGACACACATATAATATTCACATAAAAAGAGGCATATCGCCGTTATACTTTTCTGATGTTCACAAAGAAACGACCCACTTCTTACAAGTAATTACATCAGCTAGACGAAGACAATGCAATGGAGCGACTTGAAAGGACCCGCATCTCAAAGCTTTGTCGAACAAGGAATAGATATAAGTTGTATACATTTCTTGATAAATGACTGGTTTAAGACCCACATCATGTGTCGTAAATACAGGAATCACGAGTCATCAGATTTTGAACCAATATTAATTCAGAGCATGTATACATCCTTGTCACAAATTATCAAAATGTTTTAAACGAAAACAATGATTCATTGGTCTGTTGATCCATGACTGTTTTGTGTCACTACAACTCTCATCCTGATCATCACAACAGGTTAAGTATTGCACCCTTGCCACTCAGATAGACAAGTTCCTCGTCACGGTCCCTTCCCTGCCCAACACTACTGCAAGGATGTATGCTTCCACAACTGATTTCTTCGGTCTCTGAACAACAAACGGGTGTGACGGAACTTGTCCTACCATGTTCCAAAACCCAATTAATATACAGATAGGGATATACTCCTCATTTCAAACAGTTTTGTTTTGAATATAATTGGTCCGAATATGGTCCTCCACCTCTCATGCCTGTCCACCTTCTCCAGAGTCATATACCAACAGTGCCTGTCCGACAACGTTCTGGACCGTGAAGATCCGGGGTAGAATAGGTCTTCAGCAACACATGCTTGCCGTAAAAGGCGAATATGCTTGTCGTAAAAGGCGACTAACGGGATCGGGTGGTCAGACTCACTGACTTGATGCATGTCATCGGTCCCGATTGCGTGGATCGATGCTCATGGTGTCAATCACTGGATTGTCTGGTCCAGACTCGATTATTTACAGACCGCCGTCATATAGCTGGAATATTGATGAGTGCAGCGTTTAACAACAAACCAAACAAAACCAAAACTGCCAACGCTACCAAAAGAGTACAGTCTAACCATCTCCGGGTCGTCGCTACATCCCTCACAAAACACAGGGTTCATCTCGCGCGACTGTGATGCCGGGATAAAATTAGCTGTGAGGAAGAGTTGTCTGTCATACAGCGTTGACTAGATCTACAGTATTTCCTCATAAGCATCGGAGGTTTTATAAACGCTGGTCTGGACTATGAGTGAAACGTGTTTCAATGCTAGAGGTGTTAGGTGGAGTGATCTAGAGTTGGGGATTGGGCGCTTACCAACTAACCCCATGAAATACGGCCTACAACGAGCTAATAACGAAACATCCCATCTACATCAACCATCTGCTGATATTCTCTTCTCGCACAAAACACAACCATCGAACGACCTTGAGTAGACCTCGTTATATCCCCTTCTTTCTATATAGTAATAACACTAGTGGGACTATATATCTTGTTGCTGCCTGAAATAATCACAGATAACTAAACTCTCAACTCAACAAATACCTTGTAACAAAGGAAAAGCACCAGCATGCAGGTAATACTTGAAACAAACGGAACAGCAAACTCACTGCCTCGGTGATATTGTAAAACACAGTGCAATCAGACAATGAAACGGGTATATCCGACTCCTCAAATTGTCTACGAGAGCAATATCCTGGCCATGTTATAAAATCGGAGAGGGATCCAAATAGTAGTAAAGCTGATGGTTCATCACTCATTATCTTTGAAATCTCAAAATTCATAAAAACCCAACCTTACATTTTGCAGCGAAAAGATGACGAAAAACGCGGCCAAATCAGCTCCTAACAGCGAAGGAGTTGTTGTCTTCATCATTGTTATTGTTGTTGCACGCGGTGTTTTGTATTAGTAATGTTCCCTTTCAACACAACTGATTGGATGGTAGTAAAATCGTCTCTGATTGGTTCTAGATACAGGAAGCAAATGTTATTGACTAAGGGCTCAAGGACATCACTGCACACGCTTTCGAGCTGGCAAATTGTGTTTAGCGAAAGGGTAACGAAGTTTTCATAATAGCTCAATCCGATGAATAAAACTTATGCTACTCCCTGATGCCAAGTCCGGAATGTTAATCCGAGGACTAGGGTGCAAGCCCTTTTGTTTCAAAACGTCCTCGCATCGTTGGTGATCTAGTTGTTCTCGGGCCTCACAATGTAACAAAGTATCACACTCACACACACACACACACACACACACACACACACACACACACACACACACACACACACACACACACACACACACACACACATACATACATACATACATACACACACACACATACATACACAAACTTACAAAGACAGACATACACACAGTGACACACACACACACACACATATATATATATATGCACACACACAAACACACACACACGCACGTGCGTATTCAGCAAATATACTTTTTAGGGGGAACATGGGGACACATTATTTGTTTCTGCAGATAAACCCCAGCAACAAAAGTCACATTTGTGATTTATTTTCAAAAAACGTGTACGCAACAGCAATACTATATGATATGACGTGTATGCCGTCCACTAAGTGTATCGGCGTAGAGAATGTGAAAAACTTCCTGTAATACATCATAACCCTCTCTGATTCACATGAACCATTAAAACCACACAGAGCATTCACTCTGTTGTCCATACTCTCAGGGCACGATCATACTGTGGGATAATATTAAGACAAACCTACATGTTCATTATTTATTTACAAAACATCCATTTCAGCAATACAAAATGAAAACAATGAATAGAGAGATGTCATGCATGACGTCATTATGACGTTTCGAAATATGACGCACCGTTGATGAGTGGTGACGTCCGCTTGATGAAAACAATGGAAATGAAAGGACCCGCCTCTCAAAGCCTTGTCTGACAAGGCAAACATAGAAGTTGTGTACAGTTCTGATAAATAACTGGTTTAACACCCATATCATGTATCGCACATACAGGCCTTATGATACATCAGGTTTGGAACCAAGACACCAATAATATTAATTCACAGCACCTTATACATCGTTGATACAAATTACCAAAATGTGTGTTATCCAAGACAATGATTCATTGGTCCGTTCATTCACGACTGTTTTGCTCCAATAGTCTGCAACACTGCCACTCAGATTGAAACATACAAGTTGTGCACAGTTCTTGATAAACAGCTGGCTTAACACCATATCAGGTATCGTAAATACAGGTATGATGATTCATCAGATTTTGAACCAAAATATCCAATAATAATAATTCAGAAACTTATACATCCTTGACACAAATCACCAAAATGTTTGTTATCCAAGACTATGATTCATTGGTCTGTTGATCCATGACTGTTTTGTTCAAATATAACTCTCACGTTCATCATCACAACTTGTTGGGTAGGTTCAGTATTCCAGGTATTGGCACTCAGATTGAAAACGTTCTTCTCACTTCTTTTCTGTACGGAGATTGTTGCTGACATCGGGTGGTGGGCCGAGCTTAGCTGTAGTTGTCAGCGACTCCTCATATGACGGCGGCATTGGAGGAGCGGTCTGTCCTGCTGCTGCAACAAACAACACTCAAATACATGGACGGATTTATCCTTCATGCGAAGACACGAACACACTGTTACATCTCTATGATCCATGATTTAGAAGGTTCCAGTGATTTAAAACCTCCTGGATACCTTTCACATGTTGTGTTTTCATTGTTACACTGTCAAGCATGGACTATTCTACAACTAAGGCAAATCGTAAAACATTTAATGTTTTCTGACATTGTAAAAGTAAATGTTTCGGAAATATACTACACTGACCTCGTGATTAATCCTTGTCGGAAACGTCACGATCTACAATATACATATATATATATATATATATATATATATATATATATATATATATGGTTTAGTCGCTGATCCATCTTAGCTGCAGCAAAATCCAACATGAACAATGTAAAAGTGTTAAATTTGCTACAGCCACTTGTTTCATGCATTGCATTAATCTTCTACATTTCAATTATCTGAACAATATAATGAAAAACATGAATTTGCGTTGCATCAATGTTTCCATACCGCTATTGCTTGATTGCAATCATTTTCATTTGTTGGAGTCTTAGCATACATAATCTGTCGTGGCATCGACATTTTTAAGACGACTAGGTTACCTCATAGTTCACCTACCATTAGCGTCCGGCAGATCGGGATAGAAACCCTGGTTCGGGTAGCCTGATCCTTGGGGATACCCCGCAGACACCCCCACATAGCCTTGAGGTGGATAGGTTGTCATGTTCTGGTAGCTGTAGGGAGGTGGCATCATGCCACCAGGGGGCGCGGCTGCTCCAGGGGGTTGGGCTGCACCAGGGGGCGGGGCTGCTCCACCAGCAGGCATTGTCATCACACTTCCGGGCGCCATGTTAGATACTGTGACAAAAGTCTGCCCTGTGGAGGTGATGGAGACGTGACCACCAGACCATGGCTGGGTAGTTTTGGCGATGAGACGTCGTTCAGATAAATACTTGTTGTGATCCCTCACCAAACATGGCAGTCGACAGAAGTCCACCAACCACCCAACGCCTAACACTCCAAACGTAAAGAAGTACAAGGCGCCCCATCCTGGTCTGTTCAGGTAGAAATGGTGGAGACCCAGCCACCCGAAGGGGAACCACAGTATATAGACATCATCCAGGTGTTTCCATTCCTTGTCTTCTTCCATTGTTTGGATAGCGTTTGCGCGTTTGACGAGGACGGGGATGCGGAACCAGTCATATATCCAACCCACTCCCATCAGGCCGAAGGTGAAGGTGTACAGTATCCCCCATACGGGCCTGTCCAGGTAGAAGTGATGAAGGCCAAGGATGCCTAAGGGGGATGCACCTAGGATGTAGGCTGTGCAGGTGCTCTTGCAGGGTTCTGGCTCGCGTGGACACTGGTTGGCCGCCTTCACGAGGGAGGGGATGCGGAACAGATCTACCAGGAAGCCAATGCCACAGAGACCGAAGGTGAGGAGATATAGAACACCCTGGCCCGGCTTGCCCAGGTAGAACAAATGGAAGCCTGCAAAAGAAACACGTTTTTTTAAGGACCGGCCCTTAATGGTACTTACAATTTGGCATTACAAATACTGTTTTAAAACAAACGCATTGTCGTCTGGATGTCCTGATAATAACAACAGCAGCAATAACGACAATAACATGCAGTGCGTTAGTTTCCCTTCACCAAGTGAGTGTTTGTGTCTGAACATTAGAATTACCACAGACAATGGATCTGTGCCTATGCTCTTGATTTCTTTTCAGTATAGGAGTATTTGATAAAATTATGCGTTGTGGATAACAGAAAAAATAAATTGTAGTATGGCTTCTCACACAGAAAGCAAGTGTATACCTTAATGTTGTGCAAAAACATACTCCGAAAAATAGCGTGGCAGGATGTATATATTTGGGATTATTTTAAAAGTAGTTTAGTATAAACTTATCCAAAACTTAGGTATTTTAGGATAAGTGTATTTATTAAATAAATTAGTTTACTTAGTCCACTAACTCACACCTCAGTAACATAATCTAACATGTGGTGATTGATTCTTTCTGCTAAGGCTACTGCCGTCTCAGCCTAGCCTATTGTTCTCTGCCGGTCAGCTTGGCCTGGCTTTGTATTTCCCGCGTCACATGACCACCTTGGTCATGTACTGCACACCTTTACTATGTGCACCATTTCTAGTCACAACTCTCACTGGGAAAGGACAGTTCAGTTTGGTGTAAGTTACGTATATTTATTATCATTGTACTTAGGCTTCTAGCATATATAATGTATTTTAGTACACTCATATTAAGTCATTTATGTTCCATTAGAACAGTATAACATGTATATGAATCAGTATATTCATATCAGTGCAGTATATTTTTAAATATTGTAAGATGTTACCATTGAGGTATATGCATAATGAGTGTACTAGATTTAAGCATGTATTGGTACTATTTTATCATGAAAGTCTAAAAAACCAAAAGAGTATATTTGTTGATTTTATCATACATATGAAATACCTAAAAATGTTGATTTTTATACTGCTATATGAGTTTCACATGCCATGTATACAATGTAGGTGATGTTTACCATACCAGTAAGATTCATGTAGTTATATATCGTTTATCAGGTCACGTAAGATACTGGATGACCAGTTTTGATGACAACTTGTGGTTTGGCCTCCGTTCCTTAGACGAGTTTTAAAACATGCTTTACCGTAGTAAATGTAAAATAAGTGTTCGCGTTATATCTTATTAATTGGCATATCAAACACATGTAATGGATGTATAATGGCAGTATTCTTTTAATGATCTATTGGTAATGATGTTTGCCTACATTTTGTAAATATTGTGTTTTAGGGTTTCATCATCATCATAACCACTGATGGACCATCATTGGAATAAATCCGGTTGTAAAAACAGTATGCTTTTGTGTCTCTCCAATACCCTGCATAAGCCTCTGCGACAATAGTTACATCGTAAATATTGATAGAGTGTTGCAAACATCCATACAAAATTAATACAAAAAACGAATTGGTCATTTTGGCATGGATAGCGATTGATTTGTGTGGAAAGAATGCAGTACTGCAGAGATGTGGTAAGCAGATGGAAAAGCAGCTGTACATATCAATTGTCATTCGGTTTGATTGATTAGGTTTGTTTGTTGTTTAACTCTGCAATCAGCAATATTCCAGCAAAATGAAGGCGGTATGCAAATAATCGAGTCTGGACCAGACAATCCAGTGATCGACACCAGGAACATGGTAATGAGTACTGGTTTCAATAACACAGGGGAAGGGGGTTCAATCGTCTCAATCCGCCGTGCAGAGTTGCGTCCCTTGTGCACGCCAGGAACCTATGATCATGGATCGGAATTCCGGATCGGGCGGATAATGTTTGTCAGATCCATACCCGTGGTCTTGGGTTACATCGAAGTGGAAAACGTCTGAGACATAAATCACTTCGGGCTTTCCTCCCACATTAAGCTGACACTGAGTGATATATATGGAAAACTGTCATAAGGAGTGTTGTATCGCCTCCTATTACACGTTTGGACAACGGGGACATGTGAATATCATCTCATGATTGTTTCCAAACTGAAGATAAGTTATTTTTATCATGTCTCTTGTCTGTGACACTGTGAGGAAACCGTGTTATCTTGGAAAGCCGACTTAACTACCATGGGCTACGTGCGTCCACACGAAGCGCGTCGTCACCAGATAAGTATGTTGCAGTCCACTACGTGCCGTTGCCAGGAGGAACCGAAACACACAGTAGTAGCTTCACAGGTAATCTTCATCAGGTGATATGTAGGAGAGCCGTTGCAGGATGCTTTACGACATGGTTGTTTGTTGTTTAACGCCGCACTCAGCAATAATCCAGCAACATAATGGCGGTCTTTAAATAATCGAGTCTGGACCTGACAATCCAGTGATTGACATCATGAGCACAATATGGATCGATGACATGCATCAACGAAGTCAGCGAGCCTGACCACCCGACCCCGTTTCTCGCCTCTTACGACAAGCACAGTCGCCTTCTAGGGGAAATATGTATTGCTGAAGACCTATTCTACCCTGGATCCTCACGGGTCATTTACAACATGTGTTAGTAATGTCTAACAACGCAATATATTTATATATTAAACACATACACATTACCACGATAGGCGCATAGACTAAGGTATGTTGTTTGACGCCGCAGTCGGCACTAATGCAGTCGTACCATGACGACATGTGGCACCGGTCCACACAATTCCATTTCAACAATCGCCACAGATCGACAGCCTTATGTTATGCTGTATATCAGTATTGTGGTTAATGGTTACAGATGATCACTTGAAATTTCACCGGCTAACCGGTCTTCAGTAACCCAAGCTTGCGGTAAATGGCGACTAACGGGATCGGATTGTCAGGCTCCCTGACTTGGTTGATGCATGTCATCGTATCCCAATCGCGTGGGTCGATGTTCATGATGTCAATCACTGAATTGCCTGGTCCAGACTCGATTATTTACAAACCGCCGTCATATTGCAGGAATAATATTGCAGCGTCAGACAACAAACAAAGAAACATAGCAAACAATGCGCCTGTGAGAAGATGAATCTTACCAAGAAGTCCCATAGGAAACCAAAGAACATAGGCGTCACACAGGGTCTTGTCAGGCACGTGATGGGGGTCTTCACTCCTCCTGTTGGCCTCCTTCACCAGGCACGGCAGCCGGAACAGATCCACCACATACCCCACCCCCAACAACCCGAACGTGAAGAAGTACACTAGACCGAACCCAGGCCTCCGTAGGTAGAAGTGATGCGCTCCCAGCAAGCCCAACACTAGTGCAAGGATGTATGCTTCCACCAATGATTTCTTCGGTCTCTGAACGACAAACTGGTGTGGCGAGTATCTCGGGTGTGCGGGGTCCTGGCCTGTCATGATTCAAGCCGAAATGTGATATACAAATGTGATTATACTCCTTTCAAAGTTTTCCTGGTGTTTATCCCTTGTTCCGAAACCGTTCCTCCACTTGTCAATCTTGTCACCTTGTTCCCGAGTCACAACACCAAATGTGCCTGCCTGTCGTTCGCGTTGTTAAAAGTCCGTCATCGTTATCAGAAGACTACAGTCAGACCCTCCCTTTGTCGTCGCTATATCCTTCCCAGGCTTCGGGAAAAACACACACACGGTTCATCTTGCGCTGGTCGAACTGTCACAGAGGAAACGCCGCGTGATCGGTCATAGGACCTGAGGGATTGTTTACATTTTGTCATCTACCCTACAGATCAGCCCTGGACAGAGTCAATGCTGTCAGCCCCGCGCGGCTGTGACTCTGGGATATATTTAGCTACGAGGAAGAGCTGAACACCACACCGTGTTTTCGCCTGTACAGTATTTCCCCCTTTAAGCAATGGGTATTTTATAAACGCCGGCCGTTAGTAAGTATCCGCTATGGGTGATATGGGTTTCAATGCTGAAGGTTTGTTTGTTGTTTATCGCCGCACTCAGCAACATTCCAACTATATGACGGCGTTCTATAAACATTCGAATCCGGACCAGACAACTCAGTGATTGACATGTTTCTTTAACCCCGCACTCAACAATATTTCAGCTATATGACGTTGGTCTGTAAATTATCGAATCTGGACCAGACAACCCAGTGATTGACATCTTGCTTGTTTACCGCCGCAATCAGCAATATTTCAGCTATGTGTCGGCGGTCTGTAAATAATCGAATCTGGACCAGACAGTCCACTGATCATTGATCATGAACATCGATCTCCTAAGTCGTGTGATTGTTTGCTGTTTGACGCCGCGCTAAGCAATATTCCACCTATACGATTGCAGTGTAAATAAGCGAGTCTTGACAAGACAACCCAGTGATGGATGTCATGAGCATCGATCTCCCCAATTGGGATTAATGGAGACGGTGTGCATGGCAGGGATACTAGTGTCAGATTAAATGGGACATGCAATCACGCGTATCGATACAGTAATGTGGTTAGATTAAGCTGCTCTCCATGCGTATATTCCAACTACTCCCGCTCAGTGACACCCGTGAAGATTCCGGGATAGAATAGGTCTCCAGCAACCCATGCTTGCCGTAAAAGGTGACTCTGCTTGTCGTAAAAGGCGACTAACGGGATCGGGTGGTCAGGCTCACTGACTTTGTTGATGCATGTCATCAATCCCAATTGCATGGATCGATGCTCATGATATTAATCACTGGGTTGTCTTGCCAAGACTCGATTATTTACAGACCGCCGTCATATAGCTGGACTTTTGCTGAGTGCGGCGTTAAACAACAAACAAGCAAACACACTTACACCTTAGTGCTTGGGAAAAACAAGCCCATGTTTGTCAGTGTTCTCCGGCCTCTCATAACCGTAGAGTAAGCACAACACATTAACTGTAGATGCAAGAACAAAAAAAATCTGAAACGCTCGCATCACAGGGAATTTATTGTCAGTGTCACATCGTTAAACGTTTCACACTGAAAGTTTTGTTTGCATCACGAACTGTTAACGTTGAAATGATGCCTCCAGTAACGAAGTGACGAGGTGACGAGGTTTAGAAAACTACAATACAAAGTAAAAGAAATTTAGTTTGTGACATTTAGACCTTACTTTTCTAAATAAACATGTTTTTGACATTTCTTAAAATGAATGGATTAATTTCACTTTGTCAACTCAAGAAGTACAATAGCATAAACATGCATTTACCTATCATCACAAAATGTCAGAAATACAAAAAGAAAACTTACATTTGTGCTCCAACATACTTTCATACAGACTGTGACAATCGGCAGGCAACATGGAGGATCACACAGCACATGTACATCTGATGCATGGAGACTGTGTGCTCACACCTGATCACATGACATGAAGAAGTGAAACTGAGGCTTCAATATACATTTCAGATTATACAAAATTGCTCATTGCTGAAACCTGGGTTTGAACTCACAACCAGCACCTTACTGGAATTCAAGTCTACATCTTTATCCTCTGGACCACAGAGAAGCATTAAAGATTAACATTATAAACATTATTAACATTATAAACCTCATCAATAGATACAAACTTTCATCTTGGCATATTCATGAACAATATTCTCTTTAGCGCGGAAATTCTAAAAAGCTTCACCTAAATGTAACTGATTTATCATTTTAAAAATATAAGATAGCTTCGCAAAGAACTATAATGAACGAATCGTTCTGTCATGACGTCAATCGTGGAGATTCGAACATTCGCTCGCAACTTGATGACATTTTGAGAGGGGAGTGTCCAGTGAGTTATTCGCCATAGATGTAGCAAATCGCATATACTAGCGATGGCCGAACAAAATCGCATCCAAAAGTCCGAGAGTTGTGATAATCGGTATTGGGAGAAAAGGTATAGTGACGGACATGAGGCTTGTGAGAATATACGGGAAATACCACCTGTGCGTAATGGATTTGTCCGACGTTGCCGAAATCGGATATAATTGCACCCCACATGGTTTATTCTCCCTGCAGTGTTTAACTGTACGAGGGGCGGTCGGGTAGCCGAATGGTTGAAGCGTTCTCTGGTCACGCCGAAGACCCGGGTTCGATTCCCAACATCGGTACAACGTGTGGAGCTGGAATATTGCTTAAAGCGGCGTAAAACCACACTCACTCACTCACTAAGTTTACTGTACGTTGGTTGGTTTGTTGTTTTACGCCGCACTCAGCAATATTCCAGCTTCATGACGGCGGTCTGTAAATAATCGAGTCTTGACCAGACAATCCAGTGACTTATATCAAGAGCATCGATCCACGCAATTGGGATCGATGACACACATCAACCAAGTCAGCGAGCCGTTAGTCGCCTTTTACGACAAGCATAGTCGCCTTTTACGGCAAGCATAGGTTGCTGAAGACCTATTCTACCCCGGATCTTCTCGTCGCTTATTTCTCAACAGTCTCCAGGCTTTCAAAAACCCAACAACCTCGGAGCTGTTGAAACAATATATCACAAGGCGCTTATTAGTGTAACACCGGCCTGGTTGTAGCCAAGCGAGCTGGTCACCTAGGTAATGTCTGAATATGATACAGAAGATATTTATGATGACATCGCGTTGTGTTGATTAGTCAGACTTGTATTTTATTTGTGTATCGTGATCAGTAAACACAAATGTAGTAAACGGGTGCTCAGCAGCCAGTGTATGACAGGAGTGATTGGAATAAACACTCCAGATTTCTATTTTGGTGTGTGAAAAATGAATTATACTCCACGAGGAAAACGTACGTGTAGTGCTGACACGCCAGATCACATATCAACACAATTTAGAATTTAGGTGTCACTCGTGTTCTTCCTGAATTAGATATATTGAAATTAAGTCATGAAAACACGTATCAAGGAAGTGAGAGAGGTTTGACTGACACACTATTTATAGCACCCGTGAAGATCCGGGTTAAAATCGATCTTCAGCAACCCATGCTTGTCGTCTAACGGGGTCGGTATGTCAGACTCCCTGAGTTGAATAATGCCGAGTGCGGCGTTCAACAACAAACAAAATGATGTGAATCACTGGATTGTCTGGTCCAGGCTCGACTGAGTGCGGCGTTACACAACAAACAAATAAACAAGTCATATGTTCAGGTCATGTGTTCGGTCAATCTAGGACAGCTTCACATATGGGCATCATGTGTAATACAAAAAGCGGTATGAACATACACATGTGTTGCCATTGTATCTAGCATTACGAGAGACATGCATGTGTGTGAAGAGGTTTGTTTGTTTGTTTGTTGTTTAACGCTGTATTCAGCAATATTCAACCTATATGACGGCGGTCTGTAAATAATCAGTATGGACAAGACAATCCAGTGATTGACATCATGAGCATCGATCCACGCAATTGACAGCTATGCTAGATGCGCGTTGTAACGGGAAATAGCCTTATGACAGATACACATGCTATTTTATGGTAAAAAGACTCACAGGTACACTTCCCAAGGAGCTGAGAATGGAATGGAGTGCACACTGATCCATAGATCGGGGTATTAATGTAGCTTTGATCATTCTTTAGGGGGTGGATTTCTTGCATTATAAACAGGCAGATTATTGTATACATGCATACATATGGTTGAGGGAAATAGTGTTATGACAGATATACAAGCACGGCGTAAGAGAAATAGTGTTATGACAGATGTACAAGCTGTCGTAAGGGAAATAGTGTAATGACAGCTGTACAGGCATGTCGTCAGGGAAATATTGTTATGTCAGATATACAAGCATGTCGTAAGGGAAAAAGTGTTATGACAAATATACAAGCACGGCGTAAGAGAAATAGTGTTATGACAGATGTTCAGGCACGTCGTAAGGGAAATAGTGTTATGTCAGATGTACAAGCATGTCGTATGGGAAATAGTGTTATGGCAGATATACAAGCACGTCGTAAGGGAAATATTGTTATGTCAGATATACAAGCATGTCGTAAGGGAAATAGTGTTATCGCAGATCTACAAGCACGTCGTAAGGGAAATATTGTTATGACAGATATACAAGCACGCCGTAAGGGAAATAGTGTTATGACAGATATACAAGCACGCCGTAAGGGAAATATTGTTATGTCAGATATACAAGCACGCCGTAAGGGAAATATTGTTATGACAGATGTACAAGCACGCCGTAAGGGAAATATTGTTATGTCAGATATACAAGCATGTCGTAAGGGAAATAGTGTTATGACAGATAATGGGATTTTTTTAAATGAAATTGCGATAGGACTTATATACATATGAATGGTCAGGATGAATATCGCTTTACTAAATATACATATATGTGATTAATGGAGTTGTGTTAAATATACACATGTGATTAATGGGGTTATGATAAAAATGCATATATGGCATCAATGGAGTTATGATAAATATACACATATGTGATTAATGGAGTTATGATAAATACGCACATATGTGATTAATGCAGTTATGATAAATATACATATATGTGATTAATGGAGTTATGATAAATAAACATATATGTGATTAATAGAGTTATGATCAATATACATATGTGTGATTAATGGAGTTATGATAACTATGCATATATGTGATTAATGGAGTTATGATACATATACATATATGTGATTAATAGAGTTATGATCAATATACATATGTGTGATTAATGGAGTTATGATAACTATGCATTTATGTGATTAATGGAGTTATGATAAATATACATATGTGTGATTAATGGAGTTATGATAAATGTCCATATATGTGATTAATGGAGTTATGATCAATCTATATATTTGTGATTAATGGGGTTATGATAAATATACATATATGTGATTAATGGAGTCATGATAAATATGCATATATGTGATTAATGGAGTTATGATAAATATACAAATATGTTATTAATGGAGTCATGATAAATATACATAAATGTGATTAATGGAGTAATAATAAAAATACATATATTTGATTAATGGAGGTATGATCAATATGCATATATGTGTTTAATTGAGTTATTATAAATATACATAGATGTGATTAATGGAGTGATGATAAATATGCATATATGTGATTAATAGAGTTATGATATATATGCATATATGTGATTAATGGAGTCATGATAAATATGCATATATGTGATTAATGGAGTTATGATAAATATACATATATGTGATTAATGGAGTTATGATAAATATGCATATATGTGATTAATGGGGTTATGATAAATATGCATATATGTGATTAATGGAGTTATCATCAACATGCATATATGTGATTAATGGAGTTATGATAAATACACTAATATGTGAATAATGGAGTTATGATAAATATGCATATATGTGATTAATGGAGTTATGATAAATATACATATATGTGATTAATAGAGTTATGATATATATGCATATATGTGATTAATGGAGTCAAGATAAATATGCATATATGTGATTAATGGAGTTATGATTAATATGCATATATGTGATTAATGGGGTTATGATATATATACATATATGTGATTAATGCAGTTATGATTAATATGCATATATGTGGTCATTGTAATTGTTACGTGTAGTGGGACCCCGCGGATTTGTTTGCCTGCACTACAGCCATGGTATCAGTCAGCATTGTAAGCCCCGTGAGGCTGTGACACCCGGATACATTTAGCTAGGAGGACGGACTGTATATCATACGATGTTCATAGCCCACACCATATTTCCTCTAATACGCGACTAGCGTTTTATAAACGTATGTGTTATGGGTGAAACGGGATCAATCCCGCTGATTTGGTTGATGCGAGTCAGCTTAATGTGGGAGGAAAGCCCGAAGTGATGCAGGTCTCAGACGTTTACCACTTCGGTGAAACCCACGAGCACGGGTATGGTGCTGACAAACCTAGAAACATAATCGGGGCGAATCGGGATTCGAACCCACAATCATAGGTTTCTTGCGTGCCCAAGGGACGCAACTCTATACTGTTTAAACATGGATACAAATGCAGATCTCGTCATCCCGTCTGTGGTAGGGCAAAGATTATTTTCTGGACGCTTCACGTTTTCGTTGCTTGGGCGACACATACCACTGATGTTACTATCACCTCTTTCAAATCAGATCCGTGAAAATTCAGGGGTAGAATAGGTCTCCAGCAACCCATGCTTGCCATAAAAGGTGACTATGCTTGTCGATAAAGGCGACTAACGGGATCGGGTGGTCTGGCTCGCTGACTTGGTTGATGCATGTCATCGATCCCAATTGCGCGGATCGATGCTCATAATATTATTTACTGGATTGTCTGATCCAGACTTGATTATTTACAGACCGACGTCATATAGCTGGAATATTGATGAGTGCCAACCAACCAACCAAATCTTTCAGATCATGTTTTGTAAAAC